TAAATAATGTGTATTACTGCAACAACAGAAGACATTATATTAGCTTTTAGTACTGAGTTGTTTTCTGATGTTATAATACATTAATACTCCGTACCTCTGATGTTACCAAGGAACATTATGTCTAATTATATTTAACAATTGTCAATTGAGTCCTTCAAAGGAATTATCAGAAGATTAAGAAGATAATTTATTTAAATGTGAACTATTATTTTTATTGACTATTGTCCCGGGTTAATCGGACTATGAGTCAGGGTTCGTCCAACCCACCGGCCTTGGCGTTGAACATGGTCTTGTGTTTGGCACTATTATAATTTTTAAGCCGGGTTTAGTATTCCGAATTAGTTCTGACAAGTTCAGATTATACCAATAGCTTGAAACAAATTCAAAATACGGCTTTAGAGAACACGTTAAGCTATATATATAAGTAAAACTTACGAATTAATTCTGATCGGTTTAGATAAGAGCCAATAAGTTATATGTTACGAGTAGTAAGGAAAAGAACTAACCCTGATTATTATACAGAATTTTCTGTCTTTTTAATTAATGATAATTTATAAATTAAAGTAAGAATATTAAAATAAGAGCTTCATCAATAATAATAATTACTCCGTAGTACACAAATCTGTAAAGTTTTGTCACTAACTATTTAAACGTAACCTTCAAAATTAAAAATAAATAAAACATCTCTGTTTTTGGTTAGTTTCTCCTTAATTATCTGTGATTTTGATTCTTGACGGTTGAGTGGTTCACATACTCCCTTCGTTTCATATTAATCGCAACAGTTTAACATTAAGCTACCGAATATTAAAAAAAAATAGAAAAAGGAGGAGAAAAATACCAGAGCTTCATTAAAGTTGCCGCCACCACAATTGTAGGGAAAACTACCGTCATTGTAGTAAGGCCAAAGCCCATAAATTGAAAACTCTGCTGCTGGTTTTCCTGAATCTGGGAAACAACATCTTTCCCCGTGTTGGTCGCAGTACGATCCTAACCACTGCACAATAATAGTCACGTTCTCGTAATAATAATAATGTAACAACTAAATTTGGACAGAACGAGTAGCTTCGCTAGATAGTGAAATAACAATGAAATTATATTATTACCTGTTGCACAAAGTAGAACAAATGAAAATCACCATTGTTAGCAAGAGCTACAACAGATAAACTTAGCATTACACTAAGTTTGATTAACAAAGAACCTCCCCATTTTCCCATTCTCACTCACTCACTCAAATTGGATCTTGTGTTAGTTGGGAGGGTTGGATATATTATGAAGATAGTAAATGGGTTGAAGGCCTTATTTATAATAGTTGGTCCATTATTAAAATATAATTATTTTAATATAGTAATAAGAATAATGATAATAATTAATAATAGTATGTGGATGTGAAGAGGGAAAAAGACACTGCTATTTTGTAACCTTTTTTCTGCTTTTATTCTTATGCTTTGATATTTTTTCACTTAAATCACGCAAATAATTTTGGAAACTATATACTGTATCACATGGAGTGATGTAGGTGCAACAAAAAATATACTTCTTATTAACGTGCGCATTCGCATTTCAGAGGTATGTTACATTATCTGTTTTTAGATAACGTATTCCTTATCGCTATCCAGATCGGGTAGTTAATAAGAATTACACAAGTTTAATTTAAAATTTAAAAATGGTCTAATAAGTTCAAGTGATTTAGATAAGCCTTGATAATATATTCCTAAATTCCTTACATCAGTAAAAATCAAGTAAATCTAATGTATTCGTTTAAGCTTATAATTACTCCATTTAATTTCTTTAAGAAATTAAATAACTATTTCATCGTGATCATGGAGTGGTTGGAAATTTTCTTTAGGTGTTACGGTAAAAAAAAAAATGAAATTGTGAGGATCCTTTAACCAATTAATTAAGTATGTGCAATGTTTTATAGGAAGACAAGGTTTGAATTTGATTATTTGTAGATTATTTTACAACAATTCAGAGTATTAGAAGTTGTACTGGATTATAGACTGCATTTTTAGCTTTAAAAGTTGAAGCTAGTACAGAGTACTCTGTAATATTGATTGATAATGATTTTTTTTCTAAATATTGAGTAGTAATTCTTTAAGTTGAGTTAAACTTGACATTATCATATTTTTTAATTTACTTACTAATAATGTTTTTCATGTTACTTTAAAGCATATTAGGTAGTTTATGATAATACGAAGTAGTAATATATACTTTTGCTAAGAATAAAACTACAAAAAGGAAAATATACTAAACACTTCCGCACATGGTCACTTTAATATGTGCCTTAAAAGTTAATGAGAAGCCTTTCCTTTTAATGAACATAATAATATCAAGCAATTATAACTACTAATATGTACGAGTACGTATGTATTATTACCATTATTGGTGAGTGGCAAGCTTTCGGGGAAGGGAGATGAATCCTTTAACCGATGAATTAAATGCAAAATATAGGAAATGAAACAGTAAATGACCTGACTTAAACTGAACCCGAATGATTTTTATCAGACATATGTCAATCCAAAGTGATTCGAATTAAACTCGACTTGAATGACCAATTGCCTCTTCAATCTTGTCTCATATATTTTACTTGATGGGATATGTTTATATGTCTGCTTTCAATAAGTGCACATCTAATATTCATTTTCATTTAACATAGTAACATACTACATTATTCCTTTCTAATATAAGATTACATGCAACTATGTATTATGTATGTGATAGAGTATAAAACATATTCTTGGGGTTCAACCATCAGCTTAAACTTTTAGTTGAGTTGGTCCTCTAACATGGTATCAGAGCCAGCGTGATACAAAAATCATGGATTCGAATCTCATCCGCCCCTCCTTCAAAGTGGAATTAATTCGCACCAGGTATGAGTGGACCTGTGTTGCATCCACATTTCAGAGGATAAAACATATTCCTTGGCCTCAATCATCAGTTTAAGATAAAACAATTTCCTTACTAACTGATCTAAACATTTATCGATTAGCAATCGGTTGATTTGCAAGATTATTAATAAGGCGAGTATTATTGGGTATAGATAAGGGTGTAGACGACCTATACTATAACATGGGAGGTCACTTAACGGGCCCATCTCCACATGAATGAGCCTAAAGTTCAATGGTTGTGACATAGACCACATAGTTGCACATGTTACCGATAACCAGAAAGGTGTGCAGTGTCTCCCTTTGGCTTCTACATACACACCATATATTACACATCATTTATCCTAATTAATTTCTGACTAGTACGTCTATTTTTTCATGTGATCTGATTGCAGATCATTTACTATAAGACGGTATTATTGGTATGGTAACTGACATATAAGTCAGCAGTTCACCACCAACCAATTTTTCTCATTCAATTTTTATTAATTCACTTCTCTAATATGAATGAATGAATCCCAAAATATTTTAGATCATGTGTTCTATCCTTGCATTTTTCTTTTCAAAATTCTTAAAAATGACAAATATTGTAAAAGATTATATTATTCATATAATTAAGTATTTACATGGAATGATTCTATATATCTTTGGGACTTTCTACTCCATTGGAGAAAGAGGAGAGGTGGTTCCACTTTATAAGGTAGAGGAGTTACTCCTACTATTGCCAATTGGCTTTAGTATAGAAGCTCCAAAGCCTTGTTTGTGGACCAAACTCTCCTCCTCCTTATTCGGGTTGCCCAGACCCATTTCATATTGTTTCGAAATTTAACAAAATATATATATATATATATATATATATATATATATATATATATATATATATATATATATATATATATATATATATATAATGAGAAAGAATTTATGTAAAGGAAGGGCTTAACTGGACTGTTAGTGGGATTGTGAAGCTAGGTAGGTACCTTAATGATGATGACCTACATTGTTTGGAAAGTGAGCATAGATCAAGTAATAAGAGCTCATTATCTTGCTAATGATTTTAGGAGAAAATTTAACTTATTTACTAGCTAATTCTTACTTTAGTTGCTTTGTCAAAAATAAGACATTTTACACCTAGTTGGCATTGTTGCGAAATAAAAAATAATACAGAGTAATAATAATAATATAACTTTCATTTTAAATTATAATTGTACCGATTAAACTACTTTGTATTAAATCGTTGCAATGGATATACTCTATAATAAATAAAATTACCGTATTACTGATAATGGAGAAAAGGCAGTCAAATCGCACTACGTGCAGCAATAATTCCAAGCATGGACTCCTGTCTGGGACTCAAGAATTCTTTATTTTAAGTGTCGGTCACCCTCATACTTTAATTACTCCAACAAAATCAAACTCATGTATGTATGTGAGAATTTACAGTCAACTAGGCTTTGGGCAAGTTTGGGCCGAATCAAGCCCACATCCCTCAAGGTTGACTAGTAGCAGCCCACGTCCTAGCCCAACACTAAGCTGGGCGGAGCTCAAATTTTGAAAAGTAAGGCCCAAATACGGCATGGACCCATGGGCCTTGAGGACTGGGTTGGGTAGACCCACGAGCTTCTTAATATTACTGGATTGTTCTGGCCCACCATCATTCACGCGGTATTGTGTGCTGGTATGGTTGGTATTAAACATCGGCATAATGTTGTTCGGGATATTCTTGTTGATATCTGTTATCGATTTGGGGTTTTAGCTAGAAAGGCGGTTGACATTGGGTTGTCTTGAGGGAACGACGGGGCCCTTAGACCTGCAGATGTGTTACTTTATTCTTGGGATCGTGGTCGTGATGTCTGTGTTGATTTGACAGAGTTTTCTCCTTTGACACAGTCGGGGCTATTTGTTTTTGTTCCTGGACGGACTGTGGTCGATGCAGCTCATTGGAAGCGGGTCAAGTATGAGTCTAGTTGTCGAGTTATTATTATTATTATTAGTCATCAAATATATTGAAACTAGTACAAATAATTTTAGGCTCTCCACTACTTGTGAATTTCCCTAAATTAATCATATGATGAACTCCATGTGAAATTCCAACAAGATAAAAAAGAAACCTAACAAGTGTTATTCAGTAATAAAGTTTAAATCGTTCAAACAATCAATAATGTGATGTTACAAATGTCTGAATTGAGAGAATGGTGAAAAATATGATTCACCCAATTCAAGGAATTAGACATAACAAGTTGATCAATGCTGTTAAAAACCACCTAATTACAATTTAGCTACACCTTAAAATTTAGGAAACTGGACTCTAGAGGCACAATTACCACTAGGAAGCACAGGACATTTGATAAGGTCCTTTCCATTAGCATCTACACAAATGTACACTTGGTAAAGCTGGCTATTTCCATCGGAATCACGGTTACACTCGATCCAAGGATAATATCCGATCTTCTCCTTGATGGCCTCCTTCATGTCCTCGACGTTGTAGAACTCATCGTTGGGTTCGATATTTGCATCCTTAAGGGCTTGAAGAAGGTTGGTTTGGTCCTTAAGATCTAGACCGGCTTGGAAGTACTCTTGTTGGCTAGAGAATGATGAGCATGTACCGTGTTTGTTCCATTCATGTGCCCAAAACTTTGTTCCTATGTTAGGGCACGCTAGTGATGGCCAATCTTTTTCGAGCCTGCTCTCGAGTTCTTCTATCTGTATTAAAGTTAAGTTTTGGTGATTGATGGGCTAGGGAAAGAGGTAGAGCGAATATTTGCTATTGCAATAGTTTGACTTTCACGTTACATCAGCTAATAATGAATAAATTTAACTGTAAATATTTTTATTTATTAATTTGTACTCCTTCTCCATATGAAGAAGAATTTGTACTCCATAAAAGTTATAAGTTTTAATATCTTATACTTTGAAAAACTACAGCCTATATTTTTGTCTCATTAATTAGGTTTTTTTTTTTTTTTTTTTTTTTACAGTTTTCAAAACACATCTTACAACATAAATATCTCCATTTTAATACGTGTAATGATATAAAAACTTAATATTAAAAAAAAAAACACACACACACACAATAAAACGAATTCATCAAATTAAAATTGCACGTGACTATAATATTCATTATAGATTCATGGAAATTTATGGTTGACGTTTTTGAAGTTTGACACAAGTATTGGATATGAGTCAAGAATAAGTGATGGAGGGAATATATTATAACTAATCCAATAACATAGCACAATAAATTATCTTTTCTACCTATTTTAGTAAATATGACTTGTTTAGGTGTGACAAAAATAATTGTTAGTAAAGATAAATGGTCAATTATATAGGTTTAATAAGTCAAATTGTAGCACTTTCTATATCCAGGGTTAGTCTTTTACTAGCGACAATCTGGCACTTGATTAGCACCTAAGAAACATTTAAGATTTTACTAATAACGTAGTTGTATACTTTTGTTATCTTCAGATGGACGAAAACATCACGCATTAAGTTTTAAGTCATTTTCAAATATAAACAATAATATCGTACATTATTAAGATTTAACCAACAATTCGGTCTTTAATACTACTATCTCAAACACAAAATTCCCCTCCCCAACCTTTTTCTATTTGGAGTTCAAGAGTGAAGAATTTCATTCCCTTTATAATTAATTTACATGATCATAGCCATTTTTCAAAATTTATAGGATAGATGTTCCGATCCACGCCGTACTTAATTACGTAGTCATCATATATGTTTGCCATAGAAATTAAAATTACCATTTAGTACTTTCTTTGTTTTTTTAAATTAAAAGTGCAATGCAATACGGAGTATATGTATTATCACATTATGTAGTAGCTAACGAACGTGTTACAAATTAAATAAAAACTATATATGTGTAGAGAATACCTCAGATTCATCAAAAGGTTTAGTGTTATCACAGTTGGAAGGGTAACCACCATCATTGTAATTAGGCCAAAGGCCATGAATTGAGAAATCTGTTGTTGGCTTCCCACTTCCTGGAAAACAACATTTTTTCCCTTTTGCATCACAATATGCTCCTGGCCACTGCATACTTTTCACATAATTCAATTAATTAGTCTTTTAATAAATTAATCATGGTCACATTAAAAAATCACTTCTTCAAAAAAAAAAAAAATAAAAATAAATAAAAATCACCATTACACAATGTATCATAATATGCCTATAGAAACACTTTGTGTGCAATATCAAAACAGCAAATAAAAGGAAAAAAAGCCACCTTTTAATTGGTCAACTTTTTGTCTTTTCTAAACAAAAAATTTCAAAATAAGTAATCATGGTATCCCATTTTACTCTTATTGTTGATTATTCACCATTTACCATCTTCAAATAACTTTCTAGGATGTGTTCTATTCACCTGATTTTACTTTTCTGATCTTATATGAACTTATTAGTTCTTCTTAGAACTCATATTAGTTATAAATTAAACTTGGTAGCTTTGATTAACCCTTATCTGAACTTATTTTTCTTGGACTTATCTTACCATCTGAACCTATTAACCCTGAAATAAGTGAAAATAAGGTGAACAGAACAGGGCTTAATTTACCATATTTTTGTGTATATATGATATGAATTAGAGAAGAATTGTGTTATCTGTGTGTTAGATAATTTATTTATTTATAATGATGATATATGAAATGATAAATAGATAATTTATTTATTCATAATGATGATATATGAAACGATAAATCAGATCGATAAAGGTGATAAAAAAATATTAGCATTTTTTTCTAAGAAGAAAATTATAGAAGGGAAAAGAGGGGGGGTGTAATATAGTGAAATTTACCTGTTGCACAAAGTAGAAAAAATCAAAAGTAGAACTTGTAGGGTGGTCATCAGGGTGATGATGAGGTTTTTTGCTCTTACATAAAGCATCACCAATTAAACATAAAACAACCAAAAGCTTGATCATCATTGAAACTTTCTCCATATTTTCTTTCTATCTTTTTTATGTGTTACAATTGAAATGTGATGAGTTTTAATGAGTTCATTGAGTATAATAGGTATTTATATACATAAATTCTAGTAACTTAATTTTTATAAAGAGTTTACGTAACGGAATATCCAACATGAAATAGCTTGGCATATCCCATGAGCCAATTGCACGTTATCATGCCAAATAATTAACGAATTTTAATGTAATTACAACCTACTCTTGCGTGTTCATACTTCGTTCTTAAGCTTATTAATTTTATCACCAAAATTGTAAATTAATGTTTGGTAATATTAAATTAAGGGTACGAGGATGAGGTGTGGTCGTGCTTGATTAATTATGAATGCGATTAGATTAGAATTATATTAGCTGATTAGCAGATAATTTTGCTAAGTAAAGAATTGTATCATTACTAGGCACGTTCATGAAGTTTCTTACTCATCAAGGTCCTATTAAATCGGGATTATGTAATCGGGGTTGTGTGATTAGATTGTTAATTTAAAACTCTGATAGATTTATAACTCCGTTCTTAATAATACATTCAAATTTATGGGAGATAGTGCTTACATTTCATTTCATCTCTTCATTATTACACTACTTTATGAGATTATGAGTTTAATTTGTAAATTAAACTTATCTAATTAGGGAAGAATGTTATATGCTGGTATTTTGATTAACAAAATTCGATCATGTTGCAACATGTAGCGTAATACATAATATATATAATATACTCGGACAATAGAGTTAGCGTGACAATAAGATCACAAGTCAAATCTCATTCTCGGCCTCATCTTGCCCTAACAAATTTGATGTTGCATACTTGCATCTACATTTTATTATTTCAACCCTAAATCTCATTCTCGGCGTGCATAATAGAACTCAAAAACATACATAAGATTAATACCGTGAGATTTCAACCAATAGCTTAACCTTTTGGTTAAGTTGAATTGAACATTTAATATATACATGGTAGCCTAGTATTAGTAAACTAGAAGCCAATTTGTACGTAAGGATCTCTAATATAAATGTCCAACAAAACATTCCTCAATGAAAATTAGTCTAACACAAGAGCTATTAGATCTGAATTTCATGATATACTCCCTATCAAATTTATAATAGCCATTCATATTCTCTTTCCATTCAAAATTAATTGTCACTACCGATACGACGGCTAAATGTAAATGCCGGAATAATTAAGAAATTTTTTGCACATACTTTTCTTAAAAGTACTAGGAGTCTAGTTCTACGTACTTCCAAGATAAGTATAAACAGCCAAGGTAAGGGAGAAATTAGTGATACTAAATCTACGTGGGCTTGGTGGTGTAAACGTAGAGAATGTAGCAGGGAAAAAAGCAAGTTATGGGAAAGTATTATTGATGCTTGAAAGTCATATATTTATGGACAGAATGCGTGATATACAATAAGTAACAACAAAGCCAAGATTGCTAGCTAAACTAACAATAATAACATTGTACTAGTATGTAATTCCTTTTCAGCAACAAAAATGTACGTATTGTTATGCAATTTATGTCAATATCATTTAATTTGAAATGCTAAAGAATCGAAATTGTTCAAAGTTGGTCCACAATTCGAGGCTCAAAGTCATTTTTTAGTTGAGTTAGTTGTATCAATTTTAACTTAATTGACCACTTGGCTAGTTGGCTCTTGTACGTCATTCATGCTTATTAGATTACGTCTCTTGTGGACTCTTTTTGTCTTTCGTGGTCAATTTATGTTGTTCCACTAGACCATTAGTCATTACTCATTGGTGTGTTTATGGCACATATCGGCTATTTCCCCCTAGTATATTTGGATTGTATATATACACCCCGTGTATAACGTATTACTACGTATAATACTCCTATTATTAAGAGGGAATTTGTTATATGCAAGGCTGTATTAGACAATTCATTTTAATTTGTCTTTACAAAATACGAAATTTCAATTTTTAGTAATACGAAGTATACAATTTAATTTATTAATAGTCATAATTCCTCTTGCATTTTATTTGTCAATTTGTTTTTTTAGCATATTAAATGATGAAATATATTAAATAATATTCATCAGTTTAATATTATTACGGAGTAGATAATTAATTGACAAATTAATAAATAATATACAATTAAATCCTAAATATTAATTAAATATTACGTATCCATTCAGTAATATACGATTAAATTTATTTGTCAATCTGTTTTTAGAAAAAATAATATATGTCAATATAGGAAACAATAATATTATTTTTAGAACAAATAATATATGTCAATTTGTTTTTAGAACCTCACAAATTGATAAAATAATACTCGGTATGTGTCCAATAATATTATTTTTGTAGGATTTAAAATTATACATAAGTAATTAAATAGAGGTAATGTTGCCCAAAGATAAGTAATGAAAACTTGAAAGCCAAATAGAACAAACATTAGAGCTAGAACTAAGGGAGTATGTAATAAGAATTTAAGATTAATGCTTCAAACTAGTAAATTGAAGGGAGAATGTATTAATTAAGATTAATGCATCAAACAAGAGGATCAAACCAAATGTTAACATGGCTCATGCGTAGGATATGATCCATCGTTTAATATTTTATTTATGTGTAGTCTTGTATCCATAATTGTTTCCACTTATCTTCTGAGTATGGATCGTAATAGGTGATTAGATATAACTTATTCCGTGTATTCATTTAGTCCTCTTTTAGGTAGATTCATTATTAACTTGAAAATGTGAAATCACACCATAAGATATTAAAAACTATCATTACAAACAAAATACAAGTATAAGAAATTAAGAATTCTTATTCGAGAAAATGATAGTACAAACATTTGTAACAAACATCAAAGGTATTTTGATGCCCTAAATGATTAACTTGATTACAAAATCAAAAGGATGGAAATTCAATTTGAGAACCACATTTGCCATGAGGGAAAGTAGGACACTCAATAAGGTTAGATGCAGAATTGTCAACGCAAAGGTAAATTTGGTAGAGTTGACTATTGCCAGATGTATCATCATTGCACTCCACAAATGGAGTAAATCCAACACCTTGTTTGATTGCATCCTTTATGCTTTCTAATGTGTACGAGTTTCCATTTGGCTCAATTCCTACATGGAAAATAGAAAAAACATTATTTAAATTAAAAAATAAATAAAATTATGCTACGTAAATACGTACTTGGAGTTAAAATTGTACTAACGATTAATAAAAACAAAGAAAGTATTATTATGCTTAAGTGTTGAAGATAAAATCTCATAAATAATCATAAAGATTTTCAATGTGTTAATTATGGAAGAGATATCATCTTCTTGATAATAGCCTTTAAATTAGGTTGATTTTATACTATAAGGGAATTTATTATTTAAACAATCATAAATTATCTCATATGATTGCAAAAAAAAAAAAAAAGTCAAAGGAAATAATCCTCATTAATTATCGTATCCTAATAATTATAGGAATAATTTTTTTTTTGACAAGAATTATAGGAATAATTATTCATCATGAGATTTTTTGTTTTTTTTATTTTTTTTTTTTTGGAGGAAAATTATTGAATTTTCTTCAAAATTAAGTAAATGCTTGAAAAATGCATCATATTTCATTACAAAAGGACATGAACATTGAAGGTTTATCTCAAGTTTTTTTTTTTTTGTTTTTTTTTTAACTAATTAATACTAATAGTATTAGGATTAGTTTTTCTTAATAAGTTACGGAATTATGTTATGTAATCACTCCGTTTAGTTGATGTAAGTCAAAAAGTATTCACGTACAACTTATTTTAAATTATCATTAATAATTTGTCATCATTTATTACTCCCAAAAAAGTAAATGAAAGGCCTAAAATGTAAGAAAAAGCAACAAATATTGTAATATAGCAAAAGTTAATAGTAAAAAAAAGTTACCTGCACTTGTAAGTGATTGAAGAAGATTAGCTTGATTTTTGAGGTCAAGAGCAGTTTGGAAGTAGTCATGTTGTCCAAGGGTAGAACAAGTCCCATGCTTTTCCCATTCATGTGACCAAAATTTCAATCCATCACCACTTGGACATGCCAATGTCGGCCATTCTGTTCTCATTCTCTTCAATAGACTTGATACCTGTTTTTAAAACCATACCTTCAATTAACTTATCAGACATTTTATTAACAATCGCAATACTTACAATAAACTCTATATTTAGAGTTAACTTTTTTTTTTTTTTTTTAAACGTGTCACTATTGTTTACTGATTTAAATAAAAATTATTCGTTAAAGAAATTATCATCATCCACGGTCCCACCCCTCGGGTTTAGAAACATGCCATAATTCTTTCAGCCACCCCCAATTCCACCCCTCGGACTTGTTATATTTAAAGTAACACGACTACACGAGTAACTCATCGTAAATAACCTTTACACGATTTACGTACACATCGAACACAATCGTACGTACCTGAGATTGATCGAATTGGCTGCTAGGATCACAGCTAGAAGGGTAAGAACCATCATTATAATTAGGCCAAAGTCCATGAATTCCAAAATCTGCTTCTGGTTTTCCTGTACTTGGATAGCAGCAACTCTTCTCTGTATCACAGTATGATCCAGGCCACTACAAAACCATCATCAATACAAATTATTAACCTCTTTATAACCAAAAATCAAATTAATAATAAATTGAAAAAACTAGCAATTAATTATATTTACCTGTTGAACAAAGTAAAAGAAATCAAAATCTTGAGAAAATGCTGAGACTACAAACAGAAATTGTACAGCCAAAGTGTAGTAAATGGCTTTCATGTTTAATTTCTCTTTTTTTTTCTTGGGGGCGAGGATTATTATTGCAAATCGAGTTCCGTCAAAGTAATAATTCTAGCTGTATGATAGTGAATAATGTACAACTATCTTAAGTTTATATATGTAGACAGAGTGAATGAGTGATTATGGTAGGATGATAATTATAATTACAAATAAGGAAGAATATCCGTTGGTTAATAATCCGAATATGCTATTTATGCAAAAAAAATATGTTCATATTATTAGGATTATGAAAGGTCAATGTGTTCACATTATATTATTGGGGACCTTGCTTT